CAACCCAACCAGTCTTCAATCTATATCGGTCTGCTATACAAAGGTGAGTCCCCTGTGGAAAAGACATAGCAGATTTTTTCAGTTGTGTAAGCACCTTTTTGTGCTTAACAGGGTGATTCATAGACTTAATGTTCCAACTTACAAAGTTGGCTGCATAACCCGTAAGCTTCGCCTGTATATTGACAGCAGCCATAGAGTTATCTAATCAAAGAGCAACAGTATGAACGTGTGTGTGTGTGATAGCCACTAACGTCTAATCACACTTATGTGAATTAACTTATATTTCAGCTATTTTACTTTAAATGTAAGTGATATTTTCTTTTGAAAATCCTCTAAATTAACTAGTTTTAACTATAGACCTGGTAACTAGTCTGGGATATTTGTAGCTGATGCTCCATTTTTGTACCAGTAGGTGGCAGTGTGAGACCATGGTTTGGCCTGTTGTTAGTAGTCAGAAGCATGCTCAGCACTGTTTTCTCATAATGTTACATGTACTCCCTGCCTTATCATTTCTTTCCTGCTTGCAGGCTAGTATTGTACCAGAAATAGAAAATAAAAGCAGTCACACCCGATATATTGCATAGATTTATTTGAAATACTTATTACTTGTTATTCTGTTTTCTTTTTATTCTGTTTCTTCGTTACTCTGTTTCTTTCGCTCCGGGACCACGTGCACGTAATTTTCGTTACACCTCATGTAAACATGTGATGCGAATGACAATAAAGAATCCATGAATTCTTTTGGACCTAATACTGATCTTTGAGGTATCTCACAAGCAACATCCATCAATTTAGATTCCTACTCATTTATTTGTACATATTGTTGCATATTCACTACATAGCTTTTTATCAGCCCAAAACCACTCCCCTAAACCCATACTTTCCATTTTTTTTATTAGAATTTCATGACTGACAGTATCGAATAGGGCTGCCACAAACGTTTATTTTGATAGTCGACTAGTCACCGATTATTTTTGCGATTAGTCCACTAATCAGATCATGCAACACAGAGCTTACTGCACCAGCATGCATCTGCTCTAATATAACTATCATTAGCTTACAGCTTTAAGTGTATGTGCTAACTAAAAAATAAAGACAAGATGATAGTTTATTAAATTTTAATTAAATTTGCAGATTGTTTCGGTGAAGTTTAATAAACTCAGCCGTCTGCTCCTTGCTATCTAAAATATAACAGGACACCAGAGTAAATTCTCGAGCATCTCACACTCCTGATGATCAGTTGTCTGGTTGACGTTTATTCAGCTGTGTAAAAACTATAACTTTAATCTCAGCCAAACCGATTTACTCAGGAACAAATAAAATACTGAAAAAACCCAAACAATAACATTTTTAAGTTATCTAAGTGACTTAGATATCATGTTTAACCTGAGTAGCGAAAGACGGCGGTGGGTTTGAAAACGATTTGCCGGGAGTCCGGTGTTCTCACCGGCTCTAGCTAGCTTGAACCCCAGCTAGCTATCGAGCTAGTGCTCTTGCTCTAGTGTGAGAGATAAGTAGTTTTAAACCTTGTGATCCACAAAAAGTATAACGATAAAAGAACTGACTGCGTTACAGTCAGTGCGGGAGCAGCGGCTTCGCTCATGCGCGATTCATTTGCCGTTTGGACGCACAGGTGTTGTCTCATGATATCACAGGTCTCCTGCCCTGATAGCAGCTGGGGGAGGACTATCCTCCGCCTGTGAGCGCTTTGGCATGGGTGAGGTGCCCAAGGTATCACCGCTGCCTGTTGCGAGTAAGAGCGATATGCGTTTTCACGTCAAAAAGTCGTCATAAATAAGTCTCCAATAATACCAGAAAAAGTCGCCAGATTTGTCGCTAGTCGCTTTTTAGAAAAAAAGTCGCTAAGGGGGTCTGAAAACTCGTTAAATATAGCGACAAAGTCGCTAAGTTGGCAACACTGCAGCTGGCGTCCTTGTACATGCAGTGCTGCCATCTTCTGTTTCAGTCTGTTATTACACTCTCAAATCCTACTACTTATTCATGTGTCTTTTGGGATCTTACAAAGCTACGGAGCCCCGCAGGGGACATGGGAGAAAAAAAAAATTAAGACAGACTTTTGCGAGATCTCGCAAAAGTTTTAGCCGCATTCTTCGGAGGCCGCCAGCTCGAAGCCGACCGGGAGGTCGAGGCACGATGTGCCGGGAAAGCGGTGTTCCTCCCGGCTGTAGTAGGTCTCGACCTCCCGTTAGATTCGAGCTAGTGGGTGTCAGATCTCCAAAAACGTCGGAGCACTTTTGCAAATATGTGATGTCTTGTAAACCGAGCAGGTATCTGACGTTTACACAACTACATTCACGCCTCAAAATATCTTAAAAGTGTATTTTGTGACCCAGAAAGAGTAATATTACAACAAAGTAGCTGCCGCCATTGTTGGAATTCAACTTTTGCGAGATCTCGCAAAAGTCTGTCTTAATTTTTTTTTCTCCCATGTCCCCTGCGGGGCTCCGTACAAAGCTTCAAACGACACGTCGACTATTAAATTAGTCTTCGACGATTTTGATAGTCGACGTAATCGTGACTAGTCGACTAATCGTGGCAGCCCTAGTAAATGGTAAATGGCCTGTATTTATATAGCGCTTTACTAGTCCCTAAGGACCCCAAAGCGCTTTACATATCCAGTCATCCACCCATTCACACACACATTCACACACTGGTGATGGCAGCTACATTGTAGCCACAGCCACCCTGGGGCGCACTGACAGAGGCGAGGCTGCCGGACACTGGCGCCACCGGGCCCTCTGACCACCACCAGTAGGCAACGGGTGAAGTGTCTTGCCCAAGGACACAACGACCGAGACTGTCCAAGCCGGGACTCGAACCGGCAACCTTCCGATTACAAGGCAAACTCCCAACTCTTGAGCCACGATCGAACAGTTTTTTTAATTAAAAAAAAAAACTCCAAGTGTGTACTTCTTATTATGTAGGCCAGGGGTGTCCAAACTTTTTGCAAAGAGGGCCAAATTTTATAAAGTGAAGACGCCTGGGGGCCAATGGTTCCTTTTGACTTTTTTTTTCATAACAAAGTTACATGAAAATATAATGAAGAACAATTTTAATAGTCACAATTACCCGTTATTTTTAAAATAGAAATGTACCTAAATAAAAGACACTCAGGCAAGCATTTACAACTCTAAAGACACAATTCCACCTTTCATTTATATCTAGAGAGTCAGACAACATTGAACAAACTGTATAGAATACCCTACATTTCCATGAGTTTGCAATATCTTTGCCTAATGAACATTTAAACAGGCCTTATAAGTAATGAAAAGTGTTCTGTTATCAATAAAGTTTTTTTTAAAGTGAATTTCGCCCTTTTACAAGACCTTTCAGGAAGCCAAAGTTTTTCACATACTGGAAGATTGCACAACTGGAAGTTCACTTGCTGCAAGAAATAAACACATTTGTAAATTTACACAATATGTACACAACACACTCAACTATGAATTAAGAGCATAACACCAACAGTTAAAACCAAATCTTAAGAGTTTAACAAAATACGTTTCCTTTTGTGTATTGCATTAGCATGCTTTATGCTTTTTACTGTTCAGAAACACATGAGTAATGCAGGGATGTCACTCCTGGAGGCCTGCTCTTCATTTGATTCAACTGTGCTACACCAGAAAGAACTAAAACATGCATAGCAGCTCTCCAGTACAGAATTTGGGCATCCCTGGACTAATGAGAGGGGTGATACTGAGATCTAGAGTTTAGTAAAGCAATTAGGTGTGCTTTGAGGGAAGTGGTTGAGATGCATAAAATATCACGCAAGTGGGAGTCACTCATCCTTGAGCTCAATCGGTTCTTGTTTAAGTTCATGACAGAGAATGTTTGCTCTCACAAATATGTGGAACCAAATTGACCCTGTGTACGAGAAAATGCTAAATTCCTGGTTTGAGACCGGATGTGGGGTTGTACATTTCCGGTAGCTTTACTTTGCGGTCAATCGCTACTGCGAAGATATACTCCAAAATCATGTCCAAAACTCGAAAACGGAAAGATCGCGTTAAGTTACAAAGAGCAGAAGGTGGGAACACTCACCACTGTTGTGTCATAAAAAAATCTAATGATCAATTTTGACATTTAAAGAGTTTAGATCGATCAGTTGTTTACATCACTGCAGCAGAAGACACCTCGTCCACATTCAGAAGCACATCTCTGTATAGTGACTGGTCTCATGATTTAAACAGGCAAATGTTCAGCATTCAAACTACAGGTGAAGAATAGTCAAACCAGATGTTTCCCCCATTATGTCGAGATCAGCTAGTCAAGTACACACCTACACAGCATGTTAATAAACCCTGAAAAAAGCCACACAAAAAATGAATGATTGCTGGTAACGGTTTCTATACATTAGTATTTACGAAGAGTATGTTGTGACTTACCTTCAAAATTACAGCGGTCCCTCGCTAATAACGCGGTTCACCTTTCACCTCGCTGTTTCGCAGATTTTTTTAGTGCAAGTTTGCATGCTTATTTTTTTTTATGTCACATTGTGTCCTGATCGCTGCAGACGATCTCCTCCGTGACGTCTCTCCTGTACAGTACAGAATCGCTGCAGTGTGACTCTGAAGTGCAGTACTGTATGTCCACGATGTCCACGAAACGTTTTGCACCGTCAAAAAATAAAATTGGCAACTTGATTTCACCTATCGCTGGTTATTTTTAGAACATAACACCCGCGATAAACGAGGGACAGCTGAGAAATATAACATTTGAATCCCTTTTCTCTTTTGCCCTGAGGTGCAGGGAAAAAATATCAACAAGTCGATGAATATCATTTACAGATATATTGGGTAAATGCCCAAGACATTTATAGAAATGTAAATTGCCGCTTGATTCATTCATTTGCTTAACTTGTTTTGGACCATAAACCAGGTGCGAATAGGACACCGGAAACAAAGCTCCCCAAAGGCGTTTCCGCACCGGAAGTAGCATATGCTAACGTGCACAGTCAATTAACGGAATGATACACTATGATTTTCAAATATAAACAGAGTAGTGACACTTTCCAGGCAGCATAAGTTAACGTAATCAGTAATTTAGACAAAGTACCTCACAAACTGTAGGCAGATCTCTAAAGGAAAACACTAAACAGGAGATTTTTTAGAAGTTTAAACATCTTGAGTAACATCTGAATAATGACCAGCGCCCGTAGTACCGTCTTTAGGGAGCTTTTTCTGGATGGACAGGTTTGTGACTCTGTGATCCGAGCTGGAGATGTTGAGTTTAAAATTCACAGGATCATCCTCTGTAACTGCAGTGCATACTTCAGGTGAGCAGACCTGTGTTGTTTGGCTGTGGTTGGTTCTGCATTTATCCTACTTCAAAGTTTTCATGTAACACAGTGCAGCAGGTATTGGGAGGTTTCAATGTTACACTGTACTTTTTGACCACTAGAAATGTTCTGGAGCAATTTTTAGGGGGGAAAAAATCAGTCCCGTATTTTTATTTAGTTATTTATTTTGGGAGGTTTGTTGGGATACATATATAGTGTAGGTTTGTGTTTGACTCCACAATGAGCCGTTAAGAGGTAGTTTGAAAGATTACAGACGCTATAAACTGGCTTTCTCATTATATTTCATCAGCACGACAACAGCAGCAGCAGTTCTAATAAATTTGTGCACAAACTGGCCTGCACCAAAAGGACCGCATCAGTGGTGATATTAGCTGTGCCTTCACCAGTTTAGCTGAAATTGTATGTCTAAATAGGCAGGTAATCAATTTGGGGCCAGACTGAGAGGTGGCCAATGATATGCCATTTCTGTTGCAGTGGGACATGTCCGCTCTTTCCAATTCTGTCTAGTCAGTAAATTTGATAATGTGAAATTCAGTTATTATATTTGCAGCTATTTAATGCCTGCTGTCCCCTGTCGCCCTAACCCTGTTACTGTATAGGAATATTTGCTACAATGCCTAGACAACTCTATATCTTTCTGTCTGTCTAAACATAGCAGCAATGCTGAATGTTTTTCTGCACGTCTGAATAGATGACCTTAAATAGGAGATTGCCCATTTGAAATCAAGTCATTTTAGATTTTTGTTACTTTAATTTCATATCTCTTTGATCACAGTTTGCTCAAGTAAGCATGCAGCTGAAAAATTATACAAATGCTATTTAACTATGAGCTGCACGACATCAGGTACTTTTTAAGTTCCATGACAGAGAGACAATGTGAAAATGCTGATCTGAATCTGCACAGGGATCTCTTCTGCTACAAACCACTACCCTCAAACAAGGTCTACAACTTCCCCACTGTGTCTCCAAAAGCAATGAGCCTCATTTTGGAATATGCCTACACCCAATCTGTTGTGGTGACGGAGGACAATGTACTGGAGCTGTTGGCGGAAGCAGACCACTTTATCGTGACTGGCGTCATTCAAGCCTGCTGCGACTTCCTGGAGAGGAAGCTTTGTGTAAATAACTGCGTCAGTATCTACAATCTGGCACACTTACACAACTGTCCTGACCTCAGGGGAAAGGCCTTTCTCTACATCCTCCATCACTTTGAAGAGGTTTGTGCACTCTCCTTGGAGTTCCTTCAGCTCTCTGTGCAGCAACTATCAGATCTTATCGAGAATGATGAGCTCAATGTGAAGCAGGAGAGCACTGTGTTTGAGGCCATTCTCAGATGGATCAACTATTCCCCTGTGGAACGTGGGTGTGACATGCCCGCACTGCTCAAGCAGGTAACTGAAAATGGGATATCAATTTAATTGCACCTCTAAGTGCATTTATTTTGTTTATTACTCAGTGAGGGGCTGTTGAATGAATGGTACAGTTTGAAAGTATAGAAAGCAACTTCCGCTGTAGCAATTTGAATCAGGAATAAAAAATAAAACATAAGCTTGATGCCTGATGCAAAAAAAAAAAAAAGAAGTTTGATTGTACACTATTGTGTTTACAGAGTTGGGTGTCCAGGCCGCCCACCTGCTCGCCCATCAGCCTTTTATGGCTGACGTGTAAAAAGCTAAAATTGCAATGGCAGAATTACTCAAACTTAAGGCTTGGTAATAGAGTTAATGTAGGGGAATCATTCTTCTTCATTCTTAATCACATTGGGGGGGGTGTTTCTAATTCACTTGGGAGTGTGCATCAGAAGGTGCTCATCATTTAGTCCTTAATAAATTGTAAAAGTATTATTTACACTTGCGTCCAGATAAAACTGGCCGTTGTTTTGTACTTTCAGAAGTGCATTATTGATAATGTGTCTGAACTGCACTTTAGCTTTTCTGACAGAAAAGTTGACTATGCCCATCGTGTTCTGCCAGAACTTACTGACTGGACCTTAGGCATTTACAACAGGACACACCCTCATTGTGGGACCTGTTTCTACAGCAGGAGGTTACTCAGTGCTCAGATAATGGCATTGAAACTTGACTGTGGCACCACTGCTTGTTTGGAGGTAATGCCATGACCTGCCATTGCTGTTTGGCAGGTGATGTTGTGGCTCTTTACAGGTAATGTTAGGGTCTTTAAGGGCAATGCCACAGCTGATTGGAGGCGATGCCAGGAGCTACCATAGCTATCTGGGTGATTCCATGACATTTTGATTATAGGGATAGTGCTATACTTCACTAATGGGTGGTGGCATGGTGGCTACATCCAACTCTTATATACAGTCTAATGTTGTATTTCTTGCCTTTTCCCCTTATGATTCTTGTTTTCATCCAGGTCCGCCTACTATTAATACCACTGAGTACTTGGTTGGCACTGTGAGCAGAAATGATGTGGTGAGTAGTAGTCCGGCATGCATGGATATGGTAACCACTGCCATGAAGATGCTAAATGAGTCCATTGTGGAGAGACCTATGCCCCAAACACGCCTGCCGTCTGAAGTCTTATTGGCCGTTGGTGGATGGGTGAGTCATTTCCAAGTGTCAAGATTGAGTTGTACAATGTCCGAGCTGACCACTGGGTGCCGCTGAGCTGGACACGGTATGCTTCTCTGGGATTCTACGGTTGTGCTTACCTCAATGGATGTGTCTATTGCATCGGAGGTTTTGATTTCATAAGCTATTCACGTCATGTGAGAAGGTTCAGCCTCACCAACCAAACCTGGACAGAGGTGGGGCCGATGCATGAAGAGCGGGGCTTTCTCAGTGTGGCCACACTGAATGGCTGCATATATGCTATGGGCGGGTGCCAAAACCAAAAGAAACTGAAACTGCAGAACGATATGAGCCTGACACCAACCAGTGGACTATGATTGCATCGATGCACAAGCCCAGGGCAGAAGCTGGTGCTGCAACACTACACGGCAAGGTAAGTGGAATTGAGGTAGTGGAAGATCTCTGCCATGTTGGTTTTGTGGAGAAAGTGGTGGACAAAGTTAACTGGTAATGCTAACAACCTTGGTTAACAAGCTGCGTCAATAAAATGTACAGTCACATAATTCCATTAGAAATGCACCTGCACTGCACTAGCCTTAATCTGTCCAGTACACGTCCCAAAGCAGTCACAAACCCAAATTTTAGCCAGGACCGCTATTCCATATGGATTAGGTTTTTTTTGGCCTTTTTGGTGTCTGGCTGTAAAAATGATTTTTAAGGCTATGTAGTTGGATTTACAACATATGGGGATTTATTATCTTTTGGAGCCAGCCAACCAACGCATTTATGCACTGGAACATGAGGCACAGTAAAATATTACTTTTCTGTGAGTTCTGTGCAAAAAAACATTTTTTTAATAGTCTTATAAAGCTGGCCAATGGGAGTAATTTTTAAAAAGTGAATATTTATTTATTTTTTTAGATTTATGTCATGAGTATTGAGAAAGACATTCTTTCCTTGGTTGGTACTTTTTTTCTTGCAAACTTATAACAATCCTGCAAAGGATTGTTTTGGTTTTTTTTGGTTCGGTTGGGATCTTTTTGTTAATTTAATCTCAGTAAAATATGTTTTTTTTTAAAAGAATATTATGGCTTGGCAATTTCTTTATTCCTGTTTTATTTGTTTTGCTTAACATGGCACTGATTTGCAAATGTACTTTTCAGCTTGAGGGCTTAATCATCACTGGACCTTTCTGTGGAAAATATGAATAGTTTATGAATTGTATCAGTTTTATAATATTTTATTTTTAAGCTAAATATTTCTATTACCATTAATCCAACAGCTCAGGGAGAAGGTTATGGTTACTTCACCCTCACATCGTGAAAAATAGCAATTTTATAATTTCTGCATCCATATTTTTTAAGTCTGCAAAATACAGAAAATAAATGCAGCAAACCTCTGCTAAAACTAAATGTTTTAGGATAACACCATCATTTTTAGATTTTTACTACTATTATGCAAAGTAGCTACACAGAAATCTGATGAAAACATTTTTAGTTTTTCACAAGCGCATGGCACAACATCGAAGAGCCACCTCCACGGGACAAGACTCAGCAGTCCATCTGCATCTAAAGGACCACGGTCACTCTTTCGAGGATGCCAATGTTCACATTATGGACAGGGAGGACAGATTGTTTGAAAGAGGAGTGAAAGAAGCCATTTATGACCACTGTGAGCGACCATCTTTGAACAGAGGCGGTGGCTTACGACACCAGCTGTCTGCCATCTATAATCCAGTTTTGAGTTCCCTTCCCAGACGTCTTAACGCCCACTCACATCCTGGGCCATCTGATCTCAGGAATTCGCTTGATAAGGTGGGGCCAGGTTTCACAATGAGCTCACCTGAAACCCTGGCTGATTGTGACCACACCTTTACACCTTGGCTCATGTAATTAGGTAGAGGATCATCAGGGGGTCCTTTGTCCCTCTTGGGGGGAAACTCCCACAGGGCTTAAATCTGGGACTCTCCACCACTTGACTCTTAGATCTGAAGAAGCTTCTCGGATGAGAGGTGAAAAGTCTTCAAGCAACTTAAAGAAGTCCAGATGCTTTTCTTTCCAAGCTCCTTAGAATACGATGACCTGGATGACTGAGAACCTTCACAGACATTTTTAGTGTTTGTAAGTTTTTTCTGGAAGCTGAAACATTTAATTCTAGTAAGGCAAGGCAAGGCAAGGCAAATTTATTTGTATAGCACAATTCAACAACAAGGTGATTCAAAGTGCTTTACAGAGACATTAGAAACAAAAACAGATAAAAGGCATGATTTAAAATTGATTAAAACAAGCAAGCAAACAAACTAACTAGTAATTTTGACTTAAACTTGATTTTAATTTCTAGGTGTACATTTGTGGTGGTCTTACTGAAGATGAACCTCTGTCATGTGCTGAGTCCTACAACCCTGACACCAACCAGTGGACACTGATCACACCCATGGAAACCGGGAGGACTGGGGGAGCCGTGGTCGCCTACAATAACGAAATCTTTGTAGTAAGAAGAGCTTAAAACATACTCTTATTACGGACAGAAATTCAAACATGGAATGTTTACTGTACCTGTATTTGGGAGTCTGTATTATTTTCCAAGTACCATGTACTGGGTTATTGGAATGTGATTTCTATAATTACCCTAGAATCAGATATTTTGGAATCTGGAGACCTATTTACTTTTTTACAACAGAACATTTTTACGTTACAGACTGTAACAAGTCCTTTGTCTGCACAGGTTGGTGGCTTTAACGGTATCACTCAGTTGCGTAGTGTCATCGCATATGACCCAAGAACAAGACGCTGGCGCAACGTTGCTCCCATGTTACACCCTCGTCAAAACTTCGGCATTGCAGTGCTGGAGGACCAGCTGTATGTGGTTGGAGGTTACCACAATGGCGGCTTATTCTGCAATCTGGAGTGCTATGATGAAAAGACCAACAGGTGGTACATTGTCAGCGACAAAGGGATGACCCAAGGTGCTGTCAGTTGTTGCGTTCTGAAGCGACACCCCGATCTGACTGCTTATCTTCCATAATTATTTCACATAAAGAAATAAAGAAATACATTTTTCATCAATAAAAAACTGGCTGTTTCTCTGCTTAAGATCCTGAGGTCTGACATCCCAGTGAAAAAGTCTCTTTTAGCTGAACAGAGAACTTGAACTTTCTTTTCAACATGATGGGCATTGCAGCTTCCACATTTTATGGCCACAAGGGAGGTTAACAGCTATGATATTAAGATCCCATTGGTAAAAGTCAAATCGTTTCTTCACTAATAGGTGATCCATTCAAGCCGCCATCTTCATCTCTACCACCAGCGTTTAGCCAGCTCAACCATCTTCAATGTAGTTTTCTTGCCTACTTTAATGTCCAATTAAAGTAGATGAAATCCAATTAGAGTCACAAATTAGAGTTACTAAGGCTGACTGTAATCGGATCCACAGTTTATGAAGTGAATGCATCGTGTCACATCAGTAAGACTTGAAACTAGCAATGGGACATAAATTCTTCATAAACTGTTGAATTAGGTTATATATCACTTTACAGAAAGAACTTTTTTCCATGTAAATTTTACACAGATGTCATTTTGAATCTCTGCTGGCCTTAGGATATGAGGAAAGTTAAAGTTACTCCAGCTGTGGCGTCAACTTTCAGACGTCAGGCGTCAATTACCTTTTATCTTTTTTTTTAAGACACTGTTTGAGAGAAATATTCATCATGTGTTTATTTCGATAGCAGAAACATTTTTTTTTTTTTGTAATTACTAGTTGATTCTAAACAACAGGGCAGCTTCCGTATACTCTGTATAATGTGTTTAAATATGATTGAGCTTCTTTTAGTAGTAGAAAGGGATGTCATTCATGCAGAAGTCAGGTTGCAGGCTCTCAAAGGTGCAGTCAGATGTGTCCATGGCACAGCGACCGCAGTGGCAACTCAAAGCCACAGGGTAGGTGACGATCGGGTCTACACCAGGTGGGCAGGCGGGAAGCTCAAATGTTTTATAGTACAGGTCCCGGTATGTGCACACATGCTGGTACACATTGCTGAATGGTATCTTGATGACAGGGTCCTAAAGGGAGGGGAAATGAAAACAGTGTCCTTACAAAAATGTTGTTATAACACTACAGAAGCAACTGTTTTTAAACAAGAAATTCACCTAAAATGTTAAATGAAGTTTCAAAGTCCTGGTTTTAGGCATAAAGTCTTACTGTTAAACTGTTGTGCATCACAGTGAGGGAAAGTTGATGCTTTCAATGAACCATGTGCCAACACAGTGCAGGGGAGCTACCTAAACGCTACTCCCACAGAGGTTGATTATCTTGTTAATAGTGTTACATCTTCAGTGCGTTCAAGTCTGCATACTGTGCTCCTCAAATTTAGAGCTAATGGACTCCCTGGTATAACTCACAAATGTACACCATAAAGTCATCAAATATACTTTTGGTTCTGAGGGATTTTTAAAAGTAGAAAGGGAGGCAGAGCCTTCAGCTTTCGGGGCCCTCTTCTGTGCAACCAGAGTCAGACACACTCTACTGTTAAGGCTTAAACCTTTTGGGGTTTTTTTTCATAAAGCATATAGTTGGGCTGGATCAGGTGACTGAATCCTCCCTTAGTTACACTACAATAGGTCTAGCCTGCCGGAGGCTTCCCATGATGTGGTTTTATTGGATTTATTTTCTTATGCTCCACTCTGCTTTTAATCATTATTTATTATTAATCTTTGGCTCTTTTCCACAGTGTGTCTTTTTTCCCGTCTTCCTCCCCTCACCCCAAACCAGTCACAGCAGATCGCTGTCTCTCCCTGAGCCTGGAACTCCTGGAGTGTTATTCCTGTTAAAAGGGAGTTCTTCCTCCCCACTGTCACTAAGTGCTTGCTCTAAGGAAGGGGGGGGGGGGGGGGGGGGGTCATCTAATTGGTGGGATTTTGTCTGTATTATTATTGGGTTTTTGCCTTATGATATAAAGCACCTTGGGGTGACTGTTGTTGTGATTTGTTGCTATATAAATTAAATAGAATTGAAATTTAATATATTCCTTTACTTTTGCTGAGAAACCAGAAAGTTTTTAGTATCTGTGACACAGATACAGGTGAAATACACTGACTTTCTTCCCAGTTTAGTCACTTACATGTTTATAATAAAGGTCTGGAGTCACATGACAAATATACTAGACACACAGCTTGACTTTACTGCAAACAGCAGCTGGCAGCATGTTTGTGACTTTATGAGTCATGAGTTTTTCTTTTTGAAATGACGTCATTTTGCTGAGCGCGGAAATCTAAATGCGGCGATGGTTTCCACTATCAGCAAAGAATGGATGAATGAATGAATGAAAGACTGGAAATAAAAACAAACTGACTGACTGGTAAAAGCTGACAAGACTTGACCACGACTCAAGGTTAACCTCCACCTAGATAGGCCAAAAGGGTGGATGAATTTATGTGTGTTTCTTTTTACAGGAGCAGAAGGATGACAGCAACATCTGAGGTTGCATGACGATTTAACTTTTAAATGCCACTTTCTGTGTTTGTGAATCTAACAGGTGTGTTGTTCAGGGGTTTGTGTTGCTCACAGAGATTACTGTGAGAAAGGGTGTATACACCTGTGCAGCGTTAACATTTGCATTTTCTTCTCTACAGCATTACAGTTCTTAATGTGCTTTGAATATGTGATTTATAACTGGACAAATAGTTAATGTTTTCTAATAATGTTTTCCTACTACAGGATTTCTGGGCTTATGTGTGAAGAAACTGTGTTTATAGGTTATGAGTTGGTGATGCTATTAAACTGTGTTCTTGGGAAAATGTTGAATACTACAGGGGAGTGAATATGGGGGGAGACACATCCGGTCTTGAAAACAGTGTGATTCTTTTTACAGGAAATCTTTTTATAGCACCTCTGGAATGTGGAGGGCTGACGCCTAACCCGAGATGGTCAATGTGTTGCTAATGTTTGTTTTGCTTTTGTTAAGAGTGCATGTGGAGGATTCGGTACAAAACAGACAAGGGACATGAGAAAACAAATAAGAGATGCAGTTTTTATGGAACAGTTTAATAGGGGGCTCATAGTGATAAAACAAGTGGAGTGACATTGCTTAAGGAAGTCACTGATTAAATTGTGGATAAAATAAATTGTGGCACTAATAGTGATTTAATGATTTGAGAAATCCTGAACATGATACTTGTCTGTTATGCTGAATACTTTATCGCTTTCATGATTTATAGTTGGTTGTAAATAAGATGTTTGATTTAACAGATTTGTTTTCCAGGATACAGGTTCCAGGTGGAGCTGGGAGTTAATTCAATTCAATTCAATTCAATTTTATTTATATAGCGCCAAATCACAACAAAAGTCGCCTCAAGGCGCTTCATAGATACAGAGAAAAACCCAACAATCATATGACCCCCTATGAGCAAGCACTTTGGCGACAGTGGGAAGGAAAAACTCCCTTTTAACAGGAAGAAACCTCCGGCAGAACCAGGCTCAGGGAGGGGCGGCCATCTGCTGCGACCGGTTGGGGTGAGAGAAGCAGATGAAGTTAAATGAGCTTAACATGTAACTGCTGACTAATGTTTTTACACAGGGTTACAGGTTGGCGGGAGATTGTTTTAGAGAGAATGTGTAACATTCTTGTACAGGTCTCAGTAGGGAGTTGACACATGGCGGAAGCCAGGTGCAAGAGGAGGGTCAATTTTAATTTTGTAGGGTGTCGGTGAGGTGCAGGAGATTGAGAGGAGTCTTCCCACAGCAACGTTTTAAATAAAATGAGAGATTCATCGTGGACATTGAGGAAGACAACTAAGGTGTACGACGTGCTCTGCCTTAAATCTTCAGCAGCGTTGGAACATGAGAACCTGAGGATGAAGGGAGCGTGCCAAGCTCCAAAAGTGACGGCTCGTACCACAACAGCAGTCCAGTTGAAGGGGACAGGCGGGACCTAGTTCCATTGGTCTCAATGTGCAGTAGCAGATGAGAGTTTGGTGGAGACAAGCTCATCTCCAAATAACACGGGTGGCAAAACAGAGGCAGAATAAACCCTCTGACCCGTGCAACGACTAACCAGTAGTCTACCTGGGAAGTTGAAGAAAGAAGAGAAGGATCGCAGAGCATCATTTCACTCAAAGAGGAGGTGGCTGCGTGGCCCGAGGAGTGAGACAATAAGAGGAGTGTTGGCCTTTTCGAGGCCAAAGAGGAGGAGTATCGAGATGAAATATTATTTTACATTCATAATCTATGTTACTATTCATAATCCTTATTATTACTGTTGCATCATTTATGATTTATCATTATTGTCATTTCATTGACACATTTATTGAAACTGATGATGTTATATTAAAGTCTGTATTTTAGGTGTTAGCATAAGCACATAATCTTTCATTGCAGGTGCAACTGTAATCATGTTATACACATATTGCATAATTAAAGGGTTGAAGCTTGGTTAAGTTAATTAATGGTTCGAAGCTACGGGCAGCGCAATGTCTGGCCGATCAATGGAGCAAAGTTCAGCTATTGAAAGGTTGCCTACATGTTTACAGTATAATTTACTACATATTGCCTGTGTGCATTCAGCAGCCTGCTGCATTGGAGTTTGCCTGGTAACAGATGACTCAAACGGAGTCAGGAAGTATACTTCTAAAATGTCTTTGTTTGTTGAGTGAGGTCATGTACTGAGGTTAAAATACAGACATAAGTCTGCCTGCACACAGACTTGTGTTGCTTGTAAACGGTATGCTCATGCTCTGTTCTGAAGTGCAGAGAGTAGAATAACAGGAAGCATCTGGAGGAACAGAGGAAGTAGCGGTTCCTTTTTTAGAATATGTCCTCACTGGAGTTACTGGTCATCATAAGTATAAATATCACACCCACCTATTGTCAGGCGGGAGATTGAGCCTGATGTTTTGCAGAGCCCATCTTCACCACATATGTATTTTAATAAAATCATTTGTGTTGACCCACTATGGACTTTCTGTCCTATGTCTCTTCCTCAAAAATTCGAACCGCGACAGTGGCAAATGTCAAACTCCTACAGTCTCCTCAGTTCTCCTCAAATGTTCTTGTCACATGCACAGCGAAGATGCAGCTTG